ATGCTCTTAATGTGAACCGAATTCAGTTCAAACGGAAGAAACATGGCAGGGTTTTTCTGGGACTCCGATGGGACTTTATTGCGAAGAACCAACTGCCAGGGCATCTGGATAGGCTCTTCACGATCCTGCCGTTGTCTATCATTCTCTGGCCAGATGACAAAGAAGATCTCTCTCTTTACCCGGTCTTCGCGTCCCACTACTTACGTGACCTATCAGTAACTGATGTGGAGGGATTGCATCAGTTTGGTCCCTTGGTACTGGCGCAGCAGCTATCCTCGGCTTGACAACGCAGATAAAGTTCATCATCCGTTCATGGTATCAATGCTACCTTGGAGTTGTGGAATAAACATAAATTTGTTTTATTTCATTTCTTGTTATTCTTTTGGGCTTAGATCGACCTCCCCTGGACAGTATAGCCGCCAGTGAGCGACTCCATCATAGACTCAGATGAGCAGTTTCATACTTGAATGCAGAGGCGATCGATACTCATGCTTACTGACCTCTACTCTAAAGAGCAATTACGTCAGCGAAGTGTGAATACCAAACTCTGAGGGATGTTCTAAGTGTTCAACTCCAAAGTCCGGGCACACTATTGACTAATTAGGTAAAGAACAGTCAATTAGTGTTGTTCAGTACTGAAGTTTTCAATTTAAGTTCAGACAGATTGTACATTTAATTCACTGGTTATAATTAGCATTGCCATGCTAATTAAGGCATACATATTTTGATATAGGTCCAATGTGTTTTTGGATGCATGACAATATGTGGCAAGTCAGTTGTAAGTTACTCCATAGACGGTATGACACATTAACATATATGGCAGTTCTGAATGATGCTACATGTATTCCTTGAGCGCTTTCCAAAGGATTTTAATGATGTAAATGAAAAATGTTATTACATTTTGTGACACTTGGTGTCATTTAGTTCGATCTTTTAGTGGCAATAATGTAATGTATTTTGGTAAATAACAAAGTGCAATGACATGAACAGTATTTATATAATGAAATAGATATCTGAATGGTGCACTTAATCTATAGAGTTATGTTTTGGGGACCCAGTGCCTTTGCAATTTTGGAGCCCCCAGTGAGGAACTGTTGTTATCACCATGTGAACAACCAGGGACAACTACTGCCTTAGGATCACCATGTGAACAACCAGGGACAACTACTGCCTTAGGATCACCATGTGAACTACCAGGGACAACTACTGCCTTAGGATCACCATGTGAACAACCAGGGACAACTACTGCCTTAGGATCACCATGTGAACTACCAGGGACAACTACTGCCTTAGGATCACCATGTGAACTACCAGGGACAACTACTGCCTTAGGATCACCATGTGAACTACCAGGGACAACTACTGCCTTAGGATCACCATGTGAACTACCAGGGACAACTACTGCCTTAGGATCACCATGTGAACTACCAGGGACAACTACTGCCTTAGGATCACCATGTGAACTACCAGGGACAACTACTGCCTTAGGATCACCATGTGAACTACCAGGGACAACTACTGCCTTAGGATCACCATGTGAACTAACCAGGGACAACTACTGCCTTAGGATCACCATGTGAACTACCAGGGACAACTACTGCCTTAGGATCACCATGTGAACTACCAGGGACAACTACTGCCTTAGGATCACCATGTGAACTACCAGGGACAACTACTGCCTTAGGATCACCATGTGAACTACCAGGGACAACTACTGCCTTAGGATCACCATGTGAACTACCAGGGACAACTACTGCCTTAGGATCACCATGTGAACTATCACGGACAATAACTGCCTAAGGATCACCATGTGAACTACCACGGACAATTACTGCCTAAGGATCACCATGTGAACTACCAGGGACAACTACTGCCTTAGGATCACCATGTGAACTATCACGGACAATAACTGCCTAAGGATCACCATGTGAACTACCACGGACAATTACTGCCTAAGGATCACCATGTGAACTACCAGGGACAACTACTGCCTTAGGATCACCATGTGAACAACCAGGGACAACTACTGCCTTAGGATCACCATGTGAACTACCAGGGACAACTACTGCCTAAGGATCACCATGTGAACTACCAGGGACAACTACTGCCTTAGGATCACCATGTGAACTACCAGGGACAACTACTGCCTTAGGATCACCATGTGAACTACCAGGGACAACTACTGCCTAAGGATCACCATGTGAACTACCAGGGACAACTACTGCCTTAGGATCACCATGTGAACTACCAGGGACAACTACTGCCTTAGGATCACCATGTGAACTACCAGGGACAACTACTGCCTTAGGATCACCATGTGAACTACCAGGGACAACTACTGCCTTAGGATCACCATGTGAACTACCAGGGACAACTACTGCCTTAGGATCACCATGTGAACTACCAGGGACAACTACTGCCTTAGGATCACCATGTGAACAACCAGGGACAACTACTGCCTTAGGATCACCATGTGAACTACCAGGGACAACTACTGCCTTAGGATCACCATGTGAACTACCAGGGACAACTACTGCCTTAGGATCACAATGTGAACAACCAGGGACAACTACTGCCTTAGGATCACCATGTGAACTACCAGGGACAATTACTGCCTTAGGATCACCATGTGAACTACCAGGGACAACTACTGCCTTAGGATCACCATGTGAACTACCAGGGACAATAACTGCCTTAGGATCACCATGTGAACTACCAGGGACAACTACTGCCTTAGGATCACCATGTGAACTACCAGGGACAATTACTGCCTTAGGATCACCATGTGAACTACCAGGGACAACTACTGCCTTAGGATCACCATGTGAACTACCAGGGACAATAACTGCCTAAGGATCACCATGTGAACTACCAGGGACAACTACTGCCTTAGGATCACCATGTGAACTACCAGGGACAACTACTGCCTTAGGATCACCATGTGAACTACCAGGGACAACTACTGCCTTAGGATCACCATGTGAACTACCAGGGACAACTACTGCCTTAGGATCACCATGTGAACTACCAGGGACAACTACTGCCTTAGGATCACCATGTGAACTACCAGGGACAACTACTGCCTTAGGATCACCATGTGAACTACCAGGGACAACTACTGCCTTAGGATCACCATGTGAACAACCAGGGACAACTACTGCCTTAGGATCACCATGTGAACTACCAGGGACAACTACTGCCTTAGGATCACCATGTGAACTACCAGGGACAACTACTGCCTTAGGATCACCATGTGAACTACCAGGGACAACTACTGCCTTAGGATCACCATGTGAACTACCAGGGACAACTACTGCCTTAGGATCACCATGTGAACTACACAGGGACAACTACTGCCTTAGGATCACCATGTGAACTACCAGGGACAACTACTGCCTTAGGATCACCATGTGAACTACCAGGGACAACTACTGCCTTAGGATCACCATGTGAATTATCACGGACAACTACTGCCTTAGGATCACCATGTGAACTACCAGGGACAACTACTGCCTTAGGATCACCATGTGAACTACCAGGGACAACTACTGCCTTAGGATCACCATGTGAACAACCAGGGACAACTACTGCCTTAGGATCACCATGTGAACTACCAGGGACAACTACTGCCTTAGGATCACCATGTGAACTACCAGGGACAACTACTGCCTTAGGATCACCATGTGAACTACCAGGGACAACTACTGCCTTAGGATCACCATGTGAACTACCAGGGACAACTACTGCCTTAGGATCACCATGTGAACTACCAGGGACAACTACTGCCTTAGGATCACCATGTGAACTACCAGGGACAACTACTGCCTTAGGATCACCATGTGAACTACCAGGGACAACTACTGCCTTAGGATCACCATGTGAACTACCTGGGACAACTACTGTCTTAGGATCACCATGTGAACTACCAGGGACAACTACTGCCTTAGGATCACCATGTGAACTATCACGGACAATTACTGCCTAAGGATCACCATGTGAACTACCTGGGACAACTACTGCCTTAGGATCACCATGTGAACTACCAGGGACAATTACTGCCTTAGGATCACCATGTGAACTACCAGGGACAACTACTGCCTTAGGATCACCATGTGAACTACCAGGGACAACTACTGCCTTAGGATCACCATGTGAACTACCAGGGACAACTACTGCCTTAGGATCATCATGTGAACTACCAGGGACAACTACTGCCTTAGGATCACCATGTGAACTACCAGGGACAACTACTGCCTTAGGATCACCATGTGAACTACCAGGGACAACTACTGCCTTAGGATCACCATGTGAACTACCAGGGACAACTACTGCCTTAGGATCACCATGTGAACAACCAGGGACAACTACTGCCTTAGGATCACCATGTGAACTACCAGGGACAACTACTGCCTTAGGATCACCATGTGAACTACCAGGGACAACTACTGCCTTAGGATCACCATGTGAACTACCAGGGATTATGTGGGATTTACCATAATAACCATCACAAGTTTGAAATGTGATTGCCACAAGTATTCTTTTAGGAAGACATTAAGTTTCAAGGCTACCTACATGTTATGCCTGTGAGCTGTTTATTGCTCCTGACTGTTTGGGGCCTGTAACCTGGGCCTAGATTTTCCAAGCTCTCTTAGCGCTAAGATAGTTGTAAGTAAATGTTAATGTATGTCACTTACGACTATCTTAGCGATAAGAGAGATTCGAAAATCTAGGCCCAGATCTTTATATATGTATCTCTGATACATGCTGTATGCGTTTCACCCAGATATGAAGTCTCTGACATCTGTCATTAACAACTGGTTGAGAATATCAAACGTGGTGGTGGTTGCAGAGCTTCAGGAAATACATAAAGCAATCCTTCGAGCAATAACTGCCAATAGCTCTAATTTGAAGAAGCTCTATCAATATCAAAGCAATATCAAAGCAATATCTTTCTGGTCTATAACTAGGGAGAACATGATATTTAACAGATAAGGTCATACCTTGTGTAAGCTTTTACTTGGTGAAAATGCTGCAGTACACAGACAAAAGATGATCCATGCGATAACCAAACTGTCAGCCTCAGGATTGCCATTAGTTTGCTTTATCAACTGGCAGAATATTTCATCACGCAGTGCAATACGTTCTATTCCAATTTTCACTATCATCTGCATAATTTGCATGGAAGAGTCATCCGTCATTTCATCTCGCATGACCTTTGTCAATTCCTGCAAAGAAACAGAACAAATGTAAGCATTTACACCTAACATGGTGGTATTTAACATTCAAAGTGAAGGATCAATGGGAGGTGATGGTCCAAAGCATCGGTATCTTGCAGACATTCTGAACAGGAGTGAGTGAGTGAGTTTAGTTTTAGCCACACCCAGCAGTATTCCAGCTATATGGGGACAGCCTGTAAATAATTGAGTCTGGACCAGACAATCCAGGGATCAACAGCATGAGTATCGATCTACACAATGACATGTGTCAGCCAAGTCAGCGAGCCTGACCACCCGATCTCATTAGTCGCCTTTTATGACAAGCATGGGTTACTGAAGATCAATTCTAACCCGAATCTTCACAGGTATTTCAGTACCAAGAAATCATGGCAGTACAAATTCAGAGGTAATATAATACAAGAGCAGTGATTGTAACAAAAAAGACAAAGATAATAATATTTAACTCTCAGTAACAGTAATCTAAATTGCAACTTGGCCTGGCAATATACTATACTGATCATCATACGCAATGCTGGTCTTCTGGTAACGTAAGATGTTATGTGAGAGATGAGAGGCAATAGCTTGCTCACACAACAACCAGCACGCTCTTGCTGTCTAATTCACACCAGAACCAGCACGCTCTTGCTGTCTAATTTCCACAACAACCAGCACGCTCTTGCTGTCTAATTCACACAACAACCAGCACACCATTTTAAAGGTTTTCAAAACCACACGGTACCATAGTCTACATCACCTTACAAGATGGTTATCGATCTTCCTTAACCAGGGTAACAACAGCTTAAATTTCCAATTTTATGACAGTAATTTACACATGTACATACCTTGAATACATTGCAGGCCATAGTGACATTTTCACAGTCATGTAAATGAACCAGTGAAGTTGGAATGAGACCTGACTTACAAAATGTAAGCATTTCCCCTTTTGTAAGACGATCCTAGAAGAAAGAAGTTCATTCACTATTAAGATGACAAGAACATCTTGATTCATTTCATATTTCTCAACTGATCTTTATAAAAATATATAGAAATCCATAAAATAATGACAACATGAATTTCCCTCCTACGAATTTCAACTTTATCTTCTGAGAGGGATTAGAGTTACAAATTATAGACATTATAATAATGTCACAATGTAATGTTCATAAACACTGTGATGTGGCATTGCCATGATGTCACATTAGCAGCTTACAATGACAATGGTAAATACAATGTTCCAATACATGTTTAATTATTCAAAGATGGACACAACCTTTTAATGAAGTAGTTGTCCTTAGGTTTACACTACATTGCATTAGCTGTATTTACTTTGAAAAAAGGAAATATCTTGAATTTTATTTCCATTCTTTTTGGGCATTTATCAATGTGAGCGATTAAGGGGATGCACCTTGTTTTGGGGCCCTTTATTTGTTGTCTATGGATACACATTCTGTCCCTTAAAGGTCACATATACTCTAGGGGGTCACAAATACATAAATCACTAATTGGCATCGTTATAAATGAAACCCCGTCATTAAAACTACTCATTTCGATCTTTAATTAACTTAAATCGACCTTTTAGACAACAGTGCACAATTCTCACCCGTGAACGAAATTTCAACCAATCAGAGCGTCGCGTCTCTGTGACGTCATATGAGGAATAGACATGAAGGCCAATGCAGAATTCATGTACATTTCAGGGGGTAAATTATCTTGTTTACAGGTTTGTAAAAACCTGAAATAGTGACAACTGTTGTGAAAAATGAATGCTTTATGTTCTCACCATCTACTGTCATTTAATTTTGTCTCCTGCTTTGCCTAGTTTCCAAGTTACAACTTGTTTTCATAGACAATTCTGTCAAAATCGCTTGGTGTCGCTAGGCCTTATTTGCCAGATGCCAGATGCTTGTGATAGTGAAAACGATGATCAGCCTCGCACATCACGGTTACCGTTAATTTGTTCAACCTAAACAGTGCAACATTAAGAAGGGTGGATGCCCATCAGAAGCAGTTATTTGAAAATATCCCAGGTAGTTCTTGTCTGATTGTAATAAAGAATCAAAGAAGTGTGGGCTTTTTCAGGTTTTCTAATGCCTGGATGGTATAATGACTGATCCAAATTGATCCCATTTCTGTGGGTTTTATCACATCGATATTTAATTATGTCGTCTATTACGTCTATTACGTATATTAAAAATTTACATTTGATTTATTTGAATCCGTAAACTAAACAACCCCACTTTGCCATTGCTAGAAGAATCTGAAAATTTACTTAGGTAAATAGGTACATACAGTTTTAGCACACAGCAAATGCTTATATGTATTTCTTATGCAACAATGAAGTTCTGTTCGTATTCTCAAAACAGTGTCAGCCCATAAGCTTTCACATGCAATTAGAATTGCATGCAATACAGCAATTAATACTCCCTTGTTGTAATCCGTGTTAGGTGGTATAAACCTACACGTTATTTGTTATCATTCACTTGATGGTCAGTTAATGAAATTATAACAGGTATAATTAGTGGCAACACCACTTAGATTACCCGACAAAGGTTCCCATTTGGCATTTCTTGTGTCTGGAGTAAATACTCAACATTATAAACATCGATCAAGGATCAACCGATAACACGCTGACTGATTAATTACTTTTATCTTGCACAGCGGTTTTGTCAAAAGGTAGTGTTTATGCATGTAGATTTACTAATCTATACTGAATACACTCTGTAGTGTCTGTGTCTGTGTAAAAACAACGTCCTTCTTTCAAAGGATTAGCCGCCAATACATTGACTGATTGCTCTTTATTGGCTAACTAAATTACTTTTTTTAAAGAATGGCGGACATTATGCAATTAGTTGTCAGGTGTGCTATCTTGGGTGACCAATGAGACTATACACCAATGTGAAATACCTGAAACGATATATCACTTTTTCGTATATTAGACTGTTAAAAGACACATCACTTCGAACAGCTGCAGATGAATGACATATCACTCGTTTTTGTGGATATTGATGGATACATTCCTCGAACAAGGTAATAGCCTGACATTGTTCCTATAACTTTAATCTGTTTTAATTTTAATATTTGCAATTTGTTTTTATTCATTTGTCGCAGCATTCAACAGAATCATTGTTTTCGCCGTGAAGTGTAATGAGACAGACAACATACACTAGGGCGTGTGTGCAAATTATGATTCACATTGGCAAACTATAAAATGTCTAGATATTACAGTCCTGTTATAAATTCACTATAAGTATCAGCAGATCGCCTGCTTTTTATTCAGTTTCAAAATGCATACAAGTATGATAATAAACTAATTAGGATTATGACCAAATATAAAAATGTACATTGACTAGTATCTACATACTGGTGAGTGGACGTTAACCACATGAATGTAGCAAGAAATTTATCGCGCAGTATTGTCACTTCGACCCCCACCTTGCTTCCGTGGAAGACATCGTTATGTTATAAGTTGTGTCATGCAAAATCCTTTTGGTCGTGATTCCAAATACATATTTAACTACGAGTACAAAGTAGTTTTGATTTTCTTACTTGATGAAAACAAACCATAATCTCATTAATTCTAACAGAATTTAGCCCGTGACTTTACGATTTTCAAAAATGGCGGCACTCTGTCGCGAACATCCGCCAGTCTGAGGATAAATGTTATTTAGGTTTGTTTTCACCGAGTTACAAAATCAAAACTACTTTCTACTGGTAGTAAAATAGGTATTTGATTGATGGCCAATAGGACTTTGCATGACATAGCTTATAACATAACAATTCTCTCGTGGAAGCGAGGTGGGTGTCAATATATAACTACTTACAGTATTTTTGTTAATTCGACCACAACCTCGCTTCCAAGGAAGAAATCGTTATGTTACAAGTTGTGTCATGGAAAAACTTTATAGTCATCAATCATATACATATGTTACTACAACTAGTAAGTAGTTTTGATTCTTTAACTTCCGTGAAGCGATCTGAACACAAGTAAGATATCCTTTCAAGCTTCCACAATGCATGCTTCGCACTCACAAACATAACCCATTTAGCACGAACTGTGGGGTCCTGTGGAAATCTGTGCATGGTGACACCATCGCCTGATCCCTAGGAGCAATTAATGACAAATCAACGATTCGGTATGTCTTCGTTGATGTCGAGAAATCAAAATGACGAGCTAGCTACACACTTTCTATACAACTAACTGAAAATCCTTCCTCATATTACGTCACTGCAGTGCTCTGGCGACAGAGTTACGTAACCTGTCTGTGGTTTCATTGGCGGGCGAGAGTGAAGCAGGTGACTTTTTGGCAACTTTTAATCGCTCGGTATTAATTAACCACAAGTTTTTTTAAGAATGAATTTGGTGTTCCGCATAAGACTAACCACAAATCTTTCATATGTAATAGTTAAAAGAGTTAAAAAAACAACAAAGTTTATTTGTTCTTTAACAATTGCACTATTAACGTTGTTGTTGGACCAAACCGAACATTAAAAACTGACGTTGTGTCTGACATAGTTTGACATGTTGCAGGCTATGGTCTTGTCAAAGGCCAAGGTCGAATATCGTCACGTTCTGTTGTGACTTCACTTGAATTGTTCGATGACATAATTGCATTCGGTCAGTCAACCCCGTCAGAAGTTGGTTTTGAGTAAAATTACAGTCAAATTCTTTCATTGTTTCCTCCTTCTGTTTAACACAATTTTCATGTATTTTAGCAATAACGGCAATGCTATTTTTGAGGGCATTATCATTTGAAGAAGCCCTCGGTCTTTTTCAACAGCACTCCTTCGTCGGGCAGTTAATGGAAGACCTAGGGCTTCTGCAAATGATAATGCCCTCAAAAATTATCATTACCCTTATACTGTTCTTTGGTTCTACCTGATGATAGGGCCAGAACAAGCCCTTGGGACTTATTTATAAAAATTCTCAGAAATTTCTCTAGAATATTCTTAAGTCGCTAAGAAAATTCTTAGCTAAGAGTTACACTTAAAAGTGTAGTTATAATGGCTCTGAGAGTAACTCTTAGCTAAGAGCAAAAGGAAACTCTGAGGGCAAGCTGACATTGGTCGCAGCCAGGGGATTCCCTGTGCTATATTTAGAATTTAAAGCACTCTTCCGTTTTGGAGGCAAAACTTTATACCACATGACTGTTACATGATGTAAACAAGCAGCTGTGAATCTGACATCTGTCAAAACTTGATGGATTCATCACACAGTGTTTCGATGAAACGCAAGCAAAGTAACATCTTGAATAAAAAATGCGACGACGGCGTCGTGTGTGTGTGTGTGTGTGTGTGTGTGTGTGTGTGTGTGTGTGTGTGTGTGTGTGTGTGTGTGTGTGTGTGTGTGTGTGTGTGTGTGAGAGAGGTGGCAGCCAATATGAACACTGCATTTTCTAACGCTGTTAGGTCAAGCGATGACTGCGAGAAAAGATGGTACAACATCCAGTCCAAGTCAAGGCAGGAAATATCTGACTTCAAGAGACAGCTCAGTGGCACTGGTAAGTAATTACATTTCTGAGTCTTTTGATCACAGATATCTTGAAAAATAATTCAAATTGTTATGTACACTGCTAAAGCCTCAATTATTTCATGAAATACACAAATTCCTTGTAAACAAAGTTAGAGTTAGATACAGATATATAGGAGATATCAACTCACATGTGTAGATCTATATGAGAAAGAGCAATGTTGATAGAATATAGTTATGTTGATATATTGGCCAGTCTATGAACTGAAAAACATTGCTTGATACATATGTTGTATTTCTACTTGCGAGATGTGTTCTCATTTATACAAAATATCTACATGGGTATATTCCTAGAAGATAAATACATATGTGTGAAAGTGAGGTGAGGTGAGGTGAAATTGGGTTTAACGTCGTGCTTGAGAATATTTCGCTCATATGACGACGTGCATGCGCGTATATGTGTATGTGCGGCTGCTTGTACTAGCCCAG